TGGAACAACCTGCCTCCAGAAGTGGTGAATGCTCCAACACTGGAAGTTTTTAAGAAGAGACTGGACAGCCATTTGTCTGAAATGGTGTAGGGTTCCTGCCTGGGCAGGGGGTTGGACTCGATGACCTCCAAGGTCCCTTCCAACTTTATTATTATTATTATTATTATTATTATTATTATTATTATTATTATTATTATTAATTTGGTGCTGGGGTTGGGATTCTGTAGATAGATTCACATAACATTTATATAATTTGGCTATACTGTACATACTGCTCAAACCTAATGAGCTATGATTTTTCAATAAACCATACTTAAGCAAACTATGTTTTGGAATGATGGGTGAATTCAATTGTATGTGTCAATTGTAAGCTAAAGTATACACAGAATTGCAAGAAATTGCTATAGCATGAAAATATTTTTATGTTAGAAATCCCAGCCAAACACATGTATTCTTCAAATTGAAATGAAAACTTACCCTTTCTTCCCTAGTTTCATCTCTTGTAGTTCAGAGTCTATCTAAACCAGGGATAGTCAATCTTGGCTCTTTTATGACTAGTGGACTTTAACTCCCAGAATTCCTGAGCCAGCTGTGCTGGCTCAGGAATTCTGGGAATTGAAGTCCCCAAGTCATAAAAGAGCCAAGATTGACTACCTCTGATCTAAACCATTCCCCCCTCCCTCTGTTGTCTCTTTCATTCTGAAACTTTGATTGCAATACTTGTCAAGCAGCACAGTTTATCTGTTGCTTTTATAAAGTTCCACAAAGTGATGCTAAACATAATTCTTATTTAATCAGAAATGTTTTTATAGTTAGGATAGCATTACCAGGTTTCTAGTTGTTTTTCATAATCTAGCCATAAAATCACACAGAAATACACCACCCTGTACAGTATGTATGTGACAGCTCACATCTTCCTGTGTCTTCCAGCTCATGTCTTCCAAAGATGATAAGCCCCAGTCAGACATTCTTAAAGCTTCCATTTAAGTTCCACTCCCATCCCAGTTATCTCAAAATGGCACTGGCTTTATGTAGACATTAACACACTCAGTACAACTATCTGCAGAAACTCTGTGCAAAGTACATAAAACTGTACTCACATTACCTTGTCTAAAAGCCAAACTATATACATACACACTTTACATATGAAGACTTTTGTTCCAGATGACATGAAAGAATATCGGGGAAAAACCTGCAATATGGTTGATTGGTTTGAGACATCCCCCTCCAATTATTGGCAAACCAAGCTAATTTGGCTTAATTAAGCATTATTAAGAATACTCTGTATTAACATTTGAAGGAATATAACCTAAACAAGGACTATTATGTAAAAAATATTTTTAGAATTTTTGTAGAAAGTATTTTTTTCTACAAAATAATCCATTTTATAATTATTTTATAGAAGGTTAAATCTCAAGAGAGGTGAAATAGCACAATGAGACAAGCATTTTCATTAATATGGAAATATCCGTCAACTGATGAGAGAAGATAAAAACTCAGAAGAAGTAATCTATTGCCCTACAAGAGATAATGGTTACTATATTGAAAATCTGGACAGGAAAGTTCCATCTTCTATAATGTATCATCCATTTTTTGCTGCCAACGGTCCATGTTACACCCAATGTTGTAAGAAATCATAAGGTTTCAGAAATACCAAAAAGTCAGGCAAGTTGTGGAACTCACAAATAGCCCAATGAGAGCCCAACAGAATGCTGATTTGGGGTGAAAGATAGAAAATTAGGTTCAGAGCAGAGATAGACTGGAGAATTGTATCCTGGAAGAGAATGTGGCTGACTAAACGGAAGAATAAAAAGGAGCACTCTGCCATTGCAAATTTTTTTCTGGCAGTCCCACTACTAAAACATCTCCTTATTTTCTGATCTCCTGGTAGCTTCTATTTCTAAATTTATTGTCCAGGTTCTCCCCATTGACCTAATCCTGAACTGAAGGAAAATGTAATCAGGTTGTCACTGTGAGTGGAGAAATATAGTATGTCAGTTTCATGTTTGTTCCTGTACATTTCTACATTAGTTTTAAAAAGTCCTATTCATTTTCATGAACATTTCTCTTAATGTATACATCTCTTTATGTTCCTTTCTTAGGATATACTTTTTTTGCAAATGGTTTTTCTTTCATATTATTTGTTAGATTATTTCCTTCAGTTATTCCAGTTATATCTCTTCATTTTTTTTATTCCTGCAATGTAAATTGGGCTATGAAATAACAACTCGTTCAAAAGCACCCAGTAAATATTCAGTACAGACTTGAATTGGATCTCTATTATCCATTTCAATCCTTATCCAATATATCATGCACTTTTGGTGCCTTTGTTTGCACACTTTGCAAGCAGTATGTACAAATCCTTAAGTGTGTGCTTTGAATTCCACACAAGAGGAATATTTTAAAAAGTGAAGATTTCAGTCATTCTGGCTTAATTATAGATTGCTAGTGTTGATTGGGCAAATTTACCAAAAATGTAATTAAACTCATAGTAAGCCCTAACCATAGGAGCTGAATTCATATTATGTATATGTGTGTGTGTGTGTATTCACATAACTATATATAACTACATAACTATAAACTATATATATATATATTCATATAACTATATATATATTCATGTAACTATATATATATTCATATAACTATATATATCTGTATATATCTGTGTATACACATACAACCTGGCTGAATTCATATATATTAAAAAAAACCTTAATGAGGCTTAGGGTAATCCAAGCCAATTTATTATGATTTACCAGGTTTATGTATTAGTATGTGTGTTTGTGCTTATATATATTTATTAGCATAAGTCATCTTTCCGAAGACAAGGTTCAAACCTTTTCCATTCTGTTCTGAAGCTATTAATAATTCAACCCCAAGAGCTATCTTACAAGAATGTGCCACTATCGAAGGAGAGGAATGCAAAAAGTTTTTCCCTTGCCTGCATGATAACTTCAGACAGCAAGGGTTTTGGGGATTGGCTCTGAGTGCCTGTGGAAAGCAAATGATAACAAGAAACACATGACCTGCTGCTTGTTAGACAGTTAAGTGTGTTTCAGTGTTATTAAGAGTAGCTTACTGACACTTAAATATTAAAAATATCTAAATATCAAATATTATGGACAAACAATGGATAACAAGTTGACACATTCCTCATAAACTTTTTCTGTCATTCAATCATTTTTGGAAACTGGATTCAGGTTAATACATTTTTTCTACATTCAGTATTTTAATGCCAGATTGAAAGTTGAAAGGTTGGCTCACTATATAGTGATTTAGATTAATGGTGCACTTGGGTGGGGTAGAAAAATGGGCTGAGAACAACAAAACTTTAAATTTAATTTTTTAATGTCATTTAATTTTTAAATGAAATTTAATAGAGACAAATGCAAAATTCCTTACTTAAGAAACAAAGTATGAAGATAGGCTAGAAGATACTTGATTTGGTAATAGTGCTGTGAAAAAGATAATAATCAATTACAAATTGAATATGGATGAACATGATAATGTGGTTGGAAAAGAGGCAGATGCACTTTTAAGTTGCATCAACAGAAATATAAATTCCAAATCATCTTCTTATTCTATAGTATAGAATAACTGAATTCAACCAAGCTGTGGGCTAATCAGTATAGAATCTATACTGATTAGCCCACACCTTGGTTGAATTCAGTTTTGGACAACGCTCTTTAAGAAGGATTCAGAGAACATGAGAGAAGAACAAACCATATGACAAAAGGATTAGGAAAATACCATAGCTCTATGAAGAAATATTGAAGGAACTAGGAAGGTTTAGTCTTGAAAAGAAAAAGTAGAGGAGGGGGGGAGATAGAACTTAACAAATACCTGAGCAAATGGAACATAGAAAAAAAGGAAAGATTATTCTTTAGGATTGTAGAGTGCTACAGTTCTAAAGAATAAAGAGCAGTTGGATAGTAGAACCAATTTTCCACAGGATGATAAGCTGCATCTTTCTGAAAGAGTTGAGATAGAAGTTAGGTAGCCATCTATCTGGAATGCTTTACTTTAAATTCCCCTAAGCGGCCCTTCCCATTCTATAATTTTATGATTCTGTGCAGCTTCAGTGAAACCATTTGGCAGATATATTGACCTATTTCATGCAATGTTTATTTATTTAGTGTATGGTATATCATATATGGATTACCAATATAAATTAACATTCATGCAACATAATAAGTTGTGATGCAGCTTATTTAGTTTGGGTTTGTAGTAAATCCAGTCCCTGGGATCTGTATAAATCCAATCAATTGTGGTTTATTTGATAAATAATGATTAAACATACTATTGTATGGTGTATGAACCTAGTTATGTTCAACAGTAAAACAAGTAGCTCCAAAAGAATAAATTATCTCTTTAAAAAATAAAGAAAAAGAGAACTTAAAAAAAAAAATCTGTGTCTTCTTATTTTTATATTGTCTCGTCTGTTTTTCTTTATCTGGGTTTACTTATCAGCTGAAATTCCAAAACTATGCCATAAATTGTGATAATATTTTCTAATGTGCTTCCTGTATCATGAGTTCAACATGACTATATAAAAATGTTGAAACTACATCTTTGATGTTATTTTCTGCCCAATAATCCTCTACAAAGGAAGTTTCTACCTGGAAAATGAAAATGGAGGCCATAGCCATTAGGAAAATTTTTTTTAGAAAGTTGTGATGTCCATCATTGACACCATTATTCCTGCTATTTTTTCTATGTGAAAATTCAGAGAGAAAAGAGATGATGATGTCGTCATCATAGTCTAACATATCAAAGGAGAACAAGATTGGAAAGTGTGTTATTTGGGAAAGAAAATGATAATGAAATATTCAGTTTGTATTTGTGAAAAATCAGTGTACAAAACACTGTACATACTTATAAATTAATTTATCTCAATGCAAAACAATTTTTGTATATTAATGATATCTTCTGCTTCTTCAGAATAATGCAGTATCACAGAAGGGATCTATACCAAACTTTTAAAAATCCCTGAATAGACAGATTTTCAAATTTTGGAAGCTTTTGGAAGTCTTTCAAGCTAGATGTAGATGATTTCTTCAAATAGTTGAAAACAATGTGGAAAAGGGACTAATATTTATTTTGTGAACATTCATTCCATTTTCAACAGTGTCAGCATGAGTTTTAACAAGAAAACATGTAGAATCTATTCAACCACAATGACAACAAAAAATAAATAAATAAAGATTTTATGGGAAATTAAACATTTCTCAACATTTTCAGTTTTTTTCAGGCCAAGAAAATGAACATATACAATATTCATTCCTTAGAATCATAATACTTTGGATGAAAACATGTTACAAACAAGTAATTCCAGGTTAAATACAAATCTTATCAAAACTTTCAACACCTGAATTATTTTTTATCAAGCACCAGAAATATTAAAGGTTACAATTAACTTGTACTATCCCCTGTTTCTGCAAAATATATTTATACTCATCAAGCAGAAGCTGATTTCCAAAATAACTATTCATTGTAGATCACATTATTTAATTAAGATAAATAATGAATATTTAATATTACCTGGAGCTGGATAAGGAAGAAGTGGGAGGCTGATAAACTAAATTTCAGAGTAGCCAAATGATAAAGTCAGAATAAAAATGTGGCTTCTTCCACTATTTAAATTCACTAGCTTGGGGAACCCTGTTTGAATATAGTCACCTGCTGCAGGCCATTTAATGTGTCAGTGGCAGAACTGTATTCCCTGCTCCTTATTCCAAGAAGGATAATAAATAACTATGCTTTTCTAAACCTGATGCCCTTTCAGATGTGTTGGATCTTGCTATCCAAAATCTTCTCTAGGATTACCTGGAAATTATAGGAGTTATTATCAGACACATCTGAGGGCAGCAGATTGGTAGAGGCTGGAACAGGAAAAACTGAAGTTCCTACTTACGGTCACACTTTTGGGATCAAAGGCAGGTTCTTTAGGTGGTTCTGGAGCTGGAGCTGGAGCCGCAGCTGCTTTGGGGGCTTCTTTCTTGGGGTCAGGTTTTTTAGGAGCCATGAGTCTGGATTTCCTGCCAAAGTGCTTGGTTGAAAAAACCTTAGGGGCTTCAAGGAACAAAAGGCAACACTTGCATCCACGCCTTATATACTCAGCTGTGGGTCTCCTACCGAGGGGTGGGTAAATTGCAAAGACAACTGTTTACTATAAAAGGAAGGGTCTCCAAAAAAGTAGCCTGTCTCTCATTCAACAATTGTCCTTTGTCATCCACAAGGCCTGGCTTGGCTCCATGTCCTATGATAGGAAATGCAGGCTGCTTTTGCACACCTGAGCTGGGAAAGCTTACTGAAATGGAAATGCTTTTTTTAGAGGATTATCCAGAAAAAAAATCATACAGCTCTTTGTTCCTCAATCTGCCTCTATACTCAAGGGGAACAAAGTGTGTCTTTTTATAGGCAAGCCTTACAAGTGCAAATGCCACAGATTCCTTTCAAGGTCTGGATTTACTTTCTGACACTTTCCCAGTGGAATAGTTGACTGCAAGCTGTTTGATCAACACACTCTCTCTCTCTCTCTCTCTCTGTGTGTGTGTGTGTGTGTGTGTGTGTTTCACTAGCTGATCTTGCTGGAGAGCCTTATTTGGCTTTTCTCTCATTTTATTATCAATCATATCTTTTGCAATCTTGCCTTTTCCCTAGAAACAAATTATTTTTCAAAAAAATATATTGCATATTGAATGACAACACCTGGGTTCCATAGTACTAAATTATTGCATTAACTTTTGCTAAACAGGGTGTACAAGCCTAACCAGTTGTAATTTATTCAACAAAGCATGGCTAGATCATTATAGTTTTTAGTATGGTGGATAAACCAAACCAGGTTTTATAAACCATAATGGTTAGGTTTGGATATCATGCTAAGTCTAAACCAAACAAATCACATTATGACTTGACATACTAAATATCCACTCAATGGTTTCATTCTCACAACTATCCTTACTCATATTTTAAATTATTCATAATTTAAACATAATTTGCTCAATTAACCCAATTCTCTGGATCCATATATTATACTAAACCATGAAGTAACAAGCCGGACTAAGTCTGCAACATGTTAGGCCTAAATTTAACTTGAGTGTCTACAACAATTTTGATAAGGGTGACTGCACACATACATTACTACTAAAATTGTAGTATGCAATGTGTTGGATCATCCTTCCAGAGATATTTTCTTTCCTAAACAAAAGGAAAGACCATAAGGAGGCAAAAAAGCAGGGAGAGTGACCCCACCACTCACATTCTTGCCTGTTCCCACAGTTCAACTCATCCCAAAAAAGTGTCAGTCACATAACAAGTTGCACTTTTTGAATCACAAATAACCAGATTGTCATGACAAACCAGGCCACCATCTTCCCAATGCATATCAAATGCAGCTGGAGCACCCGATTTTACTGGTGTTATTTGCATAATGAGTGGAAAACAGCTAAAAGGAGAGAGGCAATATTATTGAAGTTAGCTTGAATGCAAAATGTAAAATATTGAAACACAATTCAGGCATGTATAAAAACCTGCAATATTTAATTTGGGGCTTCTATTAGCCAAATTAATTTTTAAGAAATAAAAAATGATCATCATTGACCATCACTCAGAAGAGCTCACAAAATATGGGTTGGCATTTCCTGGATCTGGAGATTTGGTTGAGATTGCACTGATAACTCTGGCTACTGTATATTAAAAAAAATCAGATACGTTTTTCTCATTTAACATGAATATGTTAAAAATCCTCAGGGATTTTTAATGTTAACAAGAGCACACCTATACAGATGGTCTTGTTCTTTTAAAATCTATATACTTAAAAATGTAAATGTTCGTTTGTTCAAAATCTTAAATCTCTGAAAGTTTTTCACCGATTGCTTTGAAATTTTGACACAACGTTGCATTCGAATACGCGCGTGTTTTTATATACCTACTATTATATAGATGTTACACCTATGACACAAACGTGCGCTTTCTCTTTTCTTTCTTTTCCATTTAACCAGACTGAGCTACAGCAACGCGTGGCTGGGTACAGCTAGTGTTTTTATAAGATCATTACCATAGTCTTGACCTTGGAGGAACGTATACAGTGTTTTGTACAACTAAGCATAAAAAAATCTTGTTATCAATTATAAAAATACTCCTATAGCAGTTTCTTAATGAAAAGAATTTACTCTTTCTATTATGTCAGATTTAACATTAAGGAAATCAATGTCTAAATTGTAGCATTGGTAAAATTCCTCCTAAACTTAAGTAATAGTACTCCAAATTGTACTTGTTAGCATTTATTAAAATGTTATCTCTGTGTACCTCCCCAACATTTATGCTGCAGTTTATGGATCAGCTTCTCAGAAACCACTCTTTCCCATTCTTTGTGTTCATTACCTCCAAAACATACAGAAACAATGTATTTCCTGTAGCCTCTTCCCTTAATTGACTGTATGTGGTTTTTTTTTTGCATAGATATAATCCTGGTTGTTATAAATGTTCGTTTTCTATACTCTATGATACTGAATGGAACTATATATTTGTAATTTATGTAATTCTACAAAATAGGGATGACCACCCTTTGATCCCACCCTCTTTGTTCTGGTCTTTAACTAATAAATATTTGATCTGACCTTTTGATGCCAAGATTTGAGGAGTGGGAGGGACAGTTGCTGTAGATGGGACAATTATGCCAGATATGTGGGGGCTGTATTATAGACAATGTAAAGTTGGGGTTATCATAGTTTTCCAGGTTGCTGGATTTTTTCTCTCTCCTTTTTAAACATTTTTGTTTTAAACCTATTCTGTAACATCAGATGATTTTATTGCTTTCTACCTTATCAAGCTACCAATTTTGACCACTGACATTTGGAGGTATAACTATGAAGTGGACTGCTTGGCATTAGGGCAAAAGTTACACATCTCTGCCATGAGACATCAGTTCCTTGAAGGATTTCAATTCAAGGGAGAAAAGTAAAAACTTAGAAATGCAGTACCTGTTTCAAAAATTATTTGTTTAATTATTTTTATCCCATATTTATTATTTTTATAAATAACTCAAAGCGGTGAATATGCATAATACTACTTCCTTCCATCCTTATTTTCCTCATAATCACCCTGTGAGGTAGATTGGCCGTAGAGAGAATGACTGGTTCAAAGTCATCCGGCAAGCTTTCATGATTAAGGCAGGACTAGAACTCCTAGTCTCCTGGTTTCTAGCCTGGTACTTTAACCACTAGATCAGAGGTCACCAACTTTTCTTGATTGGTGGACCAGAAGTAAAGGGAGAGGGAAACATTTTACGCACGCTTGCGTGCACGCGCATGGGGCCACAAGCACGTGCATGACACAAATGGGGCGGGGCTAGCGCTTGCGTGATACTCGCTAGCCCTGCCCCATTTCTTGTGCACAGTGCCCTGTTTCTGCACCCTGAGGCATGGTGTTGACCCATTTTTGCGCAGTGCGGCATCCCATTTTTGTGCCCTGTGGTGCAGTGGTGTTTCGTTTTTGTGCCCTGTGGTGCTGCGATGTCCTATCTTTGCACCCCACAGTGCAGCGGCAGCCCATTTTTGCGCACTGCAGCATGGCGGCATCCTGTTTTCACACCCCAAGGTGCGGCAATGGCCCGTTTTTGCACCACGCCTGGTTTATTTAGCAATTTCCATATAGGACAAGATTGTTCTTGACCAGGTGACAATTGTGTGGTTGTGCTCAGTTGCCTAGTAGTTCCTTACTTGCCTTCCATAGTTCCAGAGCAGTTTGTGGTGGCTGATTGTTAGGAGGGATGAAAGTTTTGAGGAAGCTGTTTCTCGATCTCAGTCTCGATCTTGGAGGTTGATGGCCTTATAATAGGTGTGTTTCTATAGCTGTCACTTTAACTCATTTTTCTACACAGCACTTTCCTGGCAGAATTTTGAAGGAAGGATATCAGCTAGATAATACACCTTTTGTATTGGTCAGTTTTGGACACCCGGTGACCAGTCTTGCTGTTTCATTTAGGACCATGTCCCCCTGTTTTGCATGTTTTGATCTACACCAAACAGACCTGGCATATTCTCCTACAGAGTAACATAGGGCTAATGTAGAAGTTCTTAATGTGTGCAGGTGGGCACTCCAACTTGTGCCTGTTATTTTCCTCAGAATGTTGTTCCTAGGAAATATTTTCTGTTTGGTATTAAAACAGTGGTTCTTAAAGATATGTGTGCAGACCAGAATTACTTCCAGATACTTTGGAAAATCACAGTGTTCTATGCTGGTTCCATTCCATTGTATCTACAGTATTCTTGATGCCCTATGGCTTTTCAAGTGGAAAGCACAAAGTTACGTTTTTAGGCAGTTTGGCTTCAGCTGGTTATCCTTGGAGTATGTGACCAGAGCCTTGGTCCATTTTTTCTTGACAACTTTGAAAGTTATGCTCTGTACTGCTGTTGCCAGTTCGTTGGTGTAAGCAAACTCCTAGTAGTTTCCAGCAGTGGTTGGTCATTGGTGTATACATATTAACAGCATAGGAACTAATACACTGCCCTGCAGAAGTCCATTTTTGGGGGTTTTCCATCGACAGTATTGTCCCTGAAAGTTGACATAAAATCTACAATAGCTATGATAATAGGCATCTTATAATTTTTTAAAATTTAAAATCCTTTGTAAAGTGAGGGACTTTCTTCAACAGGACTGCATAGCTGACTGTATTGTAAGCCATGGTGAGATCTATGAACATCATTCCTGTGATTTCCTTCAGTTCAAAACCGTCCTCTATGTATTATGGTTAGGTTGAGAATTTGAGCTGCACAGCTTTTACTGGGTCTGAAGCCAACTTATGTGGTATAAACAGGAGCTCTAGTATTGCAGACAATTGTTCAGGAGTAAACATTCAAATACCTTGTATAAATAACTGAGAAGCAATATGGGCTGTGGCTTTTTGGATCTTCTGATGGCTTATCTGATTTAAGTATGACTATCACGTAGGCTTTACTCTATATCTTGGGTATCTGAACCATATTTAAACATCTGTTGTAGAGGCTGAGAAAATTTTCTTTCGTTTAGATCAAAAATGTTTAATCCACTCAACCCAAAACTCGTCAATACCAGCTGCTTTGTTATTCTTATGCTTGTCTATTAGCCTCTTCCAACTCTCCTATAGTAAAGGGGTTTGTCAGATTGCTTATCTTCCATTCTTCATTCCTGACTATTTTCTGTTTATGTATCTGTAGGTTGAAATCTGGTTTTCACAACTTGTGTTAAGCCAGCAGCAGCAGTTTCACATAGAATAGGTCGATGTTGGGTCTTTGGTATTGGCATTCCTACCAATTTTAAGCATT